AATACAGTACTGTAATTTTATACATTTCTTGTGAAAGAAACATTTCTTATTCAACGGCCATAAAAATTGTTTATATTAATGATGTATCCAAAGTTCAACAAATTTTTCGCAGAAAAATAACATCAGAAATCGCGGCCGCCATTTGGTGCACTGCTCCGCAACGAAAACAAGCTTAAGCAATGGCGACATCGAACGGTGCACACTCAGTAAGTAATCCTACAATTTTTTGTTTATAGCATAGTTTATACGGATTATTCCCAAAAAATTATACGTGTTTTGGAAATGTTAAGTCGAATTAGTCTAGAATCGATTAATTTTATGGAAGAAAACCTTTCAAACAGCCGTAGTCCGTAAACTTCACACGTGTCAGGCTGCGATTGGCTCATGTATTTAAGGATTCCCTACAACGCGAAATTCGTATAACGAGGAACGTATCTACACGTTATAGGGGGGTCTACTGTATGTTTAAAAAAGTTTCCAAGAAGACAGGAAATATAAATTTTTATTAAACAAAATGTTGATGTTTTTGATTAACATGTTAATTGCCATCCGATGCGCCAGCAGTCATACCAATCAGGCCCGCACACAGCCATACGATGTGCCAGCAGTTGGAACCAACTTTATAGATGTGCGCGAGAGGCCACCACTACGATGTAAAAGAACATCTTACAAATCCAAAATAATTTAACCTTAAGTGAAACTATATAGGTTATAGCAATGTCGGGCAGTCGAATGGCTCTGTACGGCCCTAACCAGCATGACCGCCAACATGTCACACAGCAGTCAACATGTTAACACCAATTGCTTAATAACATGATCCTTTTCATGATCATGTTATCAAACATCTGTCAAACATCTTTTAAAATCTTTGTTTGCTAACCCTTTTTTGGTAAGGTTCTTCTTTAATTTCATCTTCATTTTTTTTGCTTCACTGTAAACAAGTTTTTCTAAATAATCTACCGATAAACTATAACCTTTTGCATTTAATAAATTTCATACATCCTCTTTGTCCACATTTTCAAAATTTATTGAGGAATCTTAATTTCTAATCTATTGAATGTTTTCTTCCTCTATTACAATTTATTCTTTTTTCATACCTCATTATTACAGTACACCACACCAAAACACACTTAACAAAACACACAGGTAAGACCATAGTTTAACAAACATTCAAAATGCCGCAATCGAAACGTTCGTCATTCCTTCTTTGGACCACCAAATATTCACATCACAGCATTTCAAATGTTAATTTAACTACAATGGTCCGACGATAGAACAACAAACAATCCAAAAACATTAACCTTTTATTTAATAAAATATATCTCTCAACCCTCAAAACCTTACGGTCATTCTGCTAATCAACACATCTATAGAAAGTAATTACAACCCAAGAATCAAAATATTCGACTATTTCATACATGCTAATTATTGACAGTTACTAATAAAGCATTCAAATTCAAAGCAGTGTAAGAAACTTTTTTGAAAATGAAGAAAATAAAGATCAAAATGTATTGGATATTTAAATTAAATATAAATTTGGATATAATACATTAGACCTATAAGTAATCAAGGTATTTATTTGTGAGCCATACAAAAACTAAAGTAATCTTTTGTAATATCAAGATCACGTGTATCTGCAAATTCCATTTGTTCGAACAGTCAAACTAAAATAGAATATTACGAAACTTTTATAAAATACATCGACAAATTAAAACATTATTAAATTCAATTCACTAAATAAGGTCAAAATATTATTTTAAAAATTTCAATTCCGCTTTCTTATTACGAAATTTTAAATTGTTTCTATTGAATTATTAGGCCTAAATATATTAATATTAAAATTAAATAACGTTCGTTTAATTATAATAATCATTCAAGCTAAAAAGAATATTAATGAAAAATTCATAAAGATGTCATCACTTACTAATTTAAAATTCCTTTAAAAAAATAAATCAACGCCGTAACAAATTTACTAAACACCAAATAGCCGTTACGATAACCAAATGCTCTCTGTTCAAATTCGAAGACCGGTTTGAAAATGAATTGAAATCACTTCTGATTAGTTCAAAAATACTTATTTTAAATTTTGTCTTTTTTTTTAATTAAATAGTTTAATAATTATAATAAAAGATTAAATTATTTTATAGTAAATATTTATTACATTGTATATCAAATTATAAATTTTTAAAAAAATTAAATATGTAATGAATATTTACCAATCAAATTTCCGGTCCTCTTTTTTTTTTTAGTTTTGGTTTTTCGAAACTAAAATAAATTGAAGATTACAGTACTTAGTTTCTTTGCTTTTTTTAATTTTTTAAGAAATATAGTCTGCCATTTTAATTGAAATTAGAAATTTTTTAAAATCTAATCTGTGATTTGTGGGTGAAAAAAATATTAAATTATTTTACTTATTAGATATATATTGTATATCAACGAGCTAGAATCTAGCTCGTTGATATACAATATATATCTAATATACTGTACTAAATATACTGCTAGAACAACGAGTAGAATATATTACATAGAGTGGCTGAGCGACGCCACGTTGAAAGAAAATTGAATATACGTCCACCATCTTCCTTTTAGTTAAGGGCGTGCCATTTGTGTTGTGTGAAGGCAACGAGCTAGAGTATTCTAACTCGTTGTGTAAAAGTGTGCAAAGGAAAAAAGAGTTTTAACCCTTAACTGAGATGATGAGAGTCAAAATGACCCTACTTAGTTTTTTTTTTTTTTTTAATTTTGAAAATTAATAACAAGACATTTCTTTCTTTAACCTTTTATATAAACGTTTCTAAACGAAACAAAATATTTTGTAGCGACTATTTTGATTAAGTTAAATGCATTTCTAAACATTTTTAACTTTACTTTCCTGGCTGTTGTGTATACATAAATAAACAAGGGTATATGTGTGTGTTAGCGCTTATAGAAAATGAAATTTGGTGTGATAGCTTGTGTATAAGGAATATTGATGCTATTAAATTTCGGTGGTTAAAGGTCAGCTCCTTATTACTTCTTAAAAGGATTTTAACTTCGACAATGTGATTCATAACATGACAAAGATCAAAAGGTAATTTTTCCTTGTAAATATTTTTACATGTTGAAACCCAAATTTTTAAGATCTGGCTCTTATTTAAATTATAAAAATATTGATGTATAACTTATATTTATCACCCTATGAAAGTCATTACTAAGATATTGATTAAAAGAATTATCAAAATGTTTAAATTATAAAAATATTGATTAATAACTTATATTTATCACCCTATGAAAGTCATTACTAAGATATTGATTAAAAGAATTATCACTTTGGTTATGCAGTACCTAAATTAATTATCCTACTTAACCAGTTATTTTGACAAAATAGCTATGAATCATTGCATTAGGAATGCCTCTCAACTAAGCACTCTTTGTGAATCATAAAAATAAAAATAAACAACCACTACAAGTTATATAAATGTGTGAAAGAATTAGGAAGTTATAAATAAAGATTGTCCTTCATCTGTAATTTTCATAATCNAACTCCAACACTTTTTATACAGTCTTACGTTCAATGTTAGGGGTTGATAAATAGAGATCAGAATAAATCTGCTTCGCTTAGGAAAGAAAAGGGAATAACTTAATCACACAGTTGAATTAATTAATTTATGACAGTTTATTGAAGCACCAATTTACGACAGACTATAAAAAATTTATTTTTCTATATAATATTCTTAATCGCAAAAAAGCCAAATCTGGCAATTTTGCTCAGAACTAACTGAAGCGCCACTTGTAATCGTCCAATGCGCCACGTTTTGGCCACCCCTGCTCTAACTCACCCCACAAATGTTCTATTGGGTTTAGGTCAGGACTCTGAGCAGGCCAGGGAAGACAAGTGACATCCATATCTTGATACCACTGCTTGACAGAGTATGCAACATGACATGGAGCATTGTCATCCTGGAAGTAACATTCATCCATTCCATAAAATTGCCAAAGCACAGGAAGAACCTGATTGTCCAAAATGTTTATGTAGGCGTAGGCATTCAATTTACCAGGAACAACATGCAAAGGTCCCAGGCCATACCACAAAAACACCCCAAACAAGAACACCACCACCACTGAACTTGACAGTTGGAACAAAGCACTCGGGTAACAGACGTTCGCTTGGCATTCTCCAAACCCAAACACGCCCATCCAACTGGAAGAACGTGTAGAGTGACTCATCACTCCATAAAAGTTTTTCAGTGGTCAACAGACCAGTTCTGACGTTGCAAACACCAAGCAAGTCTGCTAGCTTTGTTGGATGGGGTTATGTTTAGTTTGTGTGTGGCAACACATCCATGGATATTGAGGGTGTGCAGTTCTTTCTGCAAAGTATTGGAGTGCACCATAACCCCTGCTGTCTGTTGAAACTCACTGTTGATGATTTTGAGTGGTTTCTTGCAGTTTTTTACAAACCTCACACTTCAGGACACACCGATCTTGTTCAGTCAGTTTACGGGGGCGACCAACATGTGCAATTCATGTCCCAACTCCCATAGTCTTCCACTTCTTCACATCACCAACAACAGGTGATTGTGGCTGTGATAATTCTACCACAATCACACAAATAGACTTGCCACAAATGTGACAACCAACTATAACACCTCTTTGAAAGTCACTAAGTTCCTTTCGTTTTGACATATTGTCAAAATTTCATGCAGAACTAATGATGTTACCACTTTGTATATCATATTTAACCTTATCAGATCACGTGCAAGCACTGGATTTGGATAAAATCTGATGAGTCGAATTTTATGCAAATCCACTGGTGTCAGGTCCATTATTGTAGGGTAGTGTAGTTATCTGCATTATTTGTACATGTTAAAAATATTTGAGAAAAGTGAGGTCTTTTAAAAAATAGTAGCAAATAGTGAGCAATCTGAAAAATCTGTATGTACAGTAGACCCCCTATAACGCGGGTTCCTATAACGAAGATTCCTATAACACGGCGGAAAAATTGCGACAATATTTGTATAAAGACACTAAAAGGGACGCGTAAAACGCGGTAAAACATCATCACGGACGAGCAGCCGAACTAATTTCCGCCGTCCAGCACCACGCTATGGAGAGTTTAGGCGAGTGAGTTGAGTTTACTATCATCTGTACAGTATGTAAATTAGGTATCGTAAGTCTAATACAGCACTGTAATTTTATACATTTCTTGTGAAAGAAACATTTCTTATTCAACGGCCATAAAAATTGTTTATATTAATGATGTATCCAAAGTTCAACAAATTTTTCGCAGAAAAATAACATCAGAAATCGCGGCCGCCATTTGGTGCACTGCTCCGCAACGAAAACAAGCTTAAGCAATGGCGACATCGAACGGTGCACACTCAGTAAGTAATCCTACAATTTTTTGTTTATAGCATAGTTTATACGGATTATTCCCAAAAAATTATACGTGTTTTGGAAATGTTAAGTCGAATTAGTCTAGAATCGATTAATTTTATGGAAGAAAACCTTTCAAACAGCCGTAGTCCGTAAACTTCACACGTGTCAGGCTGCGATTGGCTCATGTATTTAAGGATTCCCTACAACGCGAAATTCGTATAACGAGGAACGTATCTACACGTTATAGGGGGGTCTACTGTATGTTTAAAAAAGTTTCCAAGAAGACAGGAAATATAAATTTTTATTAAACAAAATGTTGATGTTTTTGATTAACATGTTAATTGCCATCTGATGCGCCAGCAGTCATACCAATCAGGCCCGCACACAGCCATACGATGTGCCAGCAGTTGGAACCAACTTTATAGATGTGCGCGAGAGGCCACCACTACGATGTAAAAGAACATCTTACAAATCCAAAATAATTTAACCTTAAGTGAAACTATATAGGTTATAGCAATGTCGGGCAGTCGAATGGCTCTGTACGGCCCTAACCAGCATGACCGCCAACATGTCACACAGCAGTCAACATGTTAACACCAATTGCTTAATAACATGATCCTTTTCATGATCATGTTATCAAACATCTGTCAAACATCTTTTAAAATCTTTGTTTGCTAACCCTTTTTTGGTAAGGTTCTTCTTTAATTTCATCTTCATTTTTTTTGCTTCACTGTAAACAAGTTTTTCTAAATAATCTACCGATAAACTATAACCTTTTGCATTTAATAAATTTCATACATCCTCTTTGTCCACATTTTCAAAATTTATTGAGGAATCTTAATTTCTAATCTATTGAATGTTTTCTTCCTCTATTACAATTTATTCTTTTTTCATACCTCATTATTACAGTACACCACACCAAAACACACTTAACAAAACACACAGGTAAGACCATAGTTTAACAAACATTCAAAATGCCGCAATCGAAACGTTCGTCATTCCTTCTTTGGACCACCAAATATTCACATCACAGCATTTCAAATGTTAATTTAACTACAATGGTCCGACGATAGAACAACAAACAATCCAAAAACATTAACCTTTTATTTAATAAAATATATCTCTCAACCCTCAAAACCTTACGGTCATTCTGCTAATCAACACATCTATAGAAAGTAATTACAACCCAAGAATCAAAATATTCGACTATTTCATACATGCTAATTATTGACAGTTACTAATAAAGCATTCAAATTCAAAGCAGTGTAAGAAACTTTTTTGAAAATGAAGAAAATAAAGATCAAAATGTATTGGATATTTAAATTAAATATAAATTTGGATATAATACATTAGACCTATAAGTAATCAAGGTATTTATTTGTGAGCCATACAAAAACTAAAGTAATCTTTTGTAATATCAAGATCACGTGTATCTGCAAATTCCATTTGTTCGAACAGTCAAACTAAAATAGAATATTACGAAACTTTTATAAAATACATCGACAAATTAAAACATTATTAAATTCAATTCACTAAATAAGGTCAAAATATTATTTTAAAAATTTCAATTCCGCTTTCTTATTACGAAATTTTAAATTGTTTCTATTGAATTATTAGGCCTAAATATATTAATATTAAAATTAAATAACGTTCGTTTAATTATAATAATCATTCAAGCTAAAAAGAATATTAATGAAAAATTCATAAAGATGTCATCACTTACTAATTTAAAATTCCTTTAAAAAAATAAATCAACGCCGTAACAAATTTACTAAACACCAAATAGCCGTTACGATAACCAAATGCTCTCTGTTCAAATTCGAAGACCGGTTTGAAAATGAATTGAAATCACTTCTGATTAGTTCAAAAATACTTATTTTAAATTTTGTCTTTTTTTTTAATTAAATAGTTTAATAATTATAATAAAAGATTAAATTATTTTATAGTAAATATTTATTACATTGTATATCAAATTATAAATTTTTAAAAAAATTAAATATGTAATGAATATTTACCAATCAAATTTCCGGTCCTCTTTTTTTTTTTAGTTTTGGTTTTTCGAAACTAAAATAAATTGAAGATTACAGTACTTAGTTTCTTTGCTTTTTTTAATTTTTTAAGAAATATAGTCTGCCATTTTAATTGAAATTAGAAATTTTTTAAAATCTAATCTGTGATTTGTGGGTGAAAAAAATATTAAATTATTTTACTTATTAGATATATATTGTATATCAACGAGCTAGAATCTAGCTCGTTGATATACAATATATATCTAATATACTGTACTAAATATACTGCTAGAACAACGAGTAGAATATATTACATAGAGTGGCTGAGCGACGCCACGTTGAAAGAAAATTGAATATACGTCCACCATCTTCCTTTTAGTTAAGGGCGTGCCATTTGTGTTGTGTGAAGGCAACGAGCTAGAGTATTCTAACTCGTTGTGTAAAAGTGTGCAAAGGAAAAAAGAGTTTTAACCCTTAACTGAGATGATGAGAGTCAAAATGACCCTACTTTTTTTTTTTTTTTTTTTTAATTTTGAAAATTAATAACAAGACATTTCTTTCTTTAACCTTTTATATAAACGTTTCTAAACGAAACAAAATATTTTGTAGCGACTATTTTGATTAAGTTAAATGCATTTCTAAACATTTTTAACTTTACTTTCCTGGCTGTTGTGTATACATAAATAAACAAGGGTATATGTGTGTGTTAGCGCTTATAGAAAATGAAATTTGGTGTGATAGCTTGTGTATAAGGAATATTGATGCTATTAAATTTCGGTGGTTAAAGGTCAGCTCCTTATTACTTCTTAAAAGGATTTTAACTTCGACAATGTGATTCATAACATGACAAAGATCAAAAGGTAATTTTTCCTTGTAAATATTTTTACATGTTGAAACCCAAATTTTTAAGATCTGGCTCTTATTTAAATTATAAAAATATTGATGTATTGAGGGTTAAGTACTACACTTACCACTTTAAACTCTGATCTTAACCTTTTTTTATAGTAATTAAATAAAATCTAGAAAACAGCTAAATTCGAGATGAAACAATTTAGATTTATATCGTTTATCTAATTGTCTAAATCTCAAATCTAGGGACAAACAAAACAATCCAGATTTATCCGAGAAAAATAGATTTTAAAGTGACAATCCTGCCCAACACATAGTACAGACTTCAATGTTTTGACTTAAAGTAAAATGGCGGTCTATATTACCCGTCGTTGCTACCAAGAGCGCTGTATCGTCTATACATAGACGATTTCGCCATCAAATCTGGTGGCTGTGACTGTGACCTTAGATATTTTTGGTGGCATCGACGGGTAATATAGACCGCCATTTTACTTTATGTCAAAACATTGAAGCAGTAGCGTAGCGTGGGTGTCAGCCGCAAGGGGCGGAGGAAAATTTCGCCGTCCCCTTATTTAGGTATCTCAATTTAAAAGACTAAAATTCAGTTTCGTCACAGAATAAGTAATGAAAAATTCCGTGCTAGTGTTGCCACCTTTTTAAAATCGCCGACCCTGACCGCAGGTGAGGTTTGTTCAAACAGAAGTTCCTGACGCATGCGTATATCATTTTGCAATGAAGAATAATTTGCAGTGCATGCTGGTTCTAAATCAGTTACAGTTAGCGACTAGGGAGACTTGGGTAGGAGTAACGCAAGTAATGTAGATGACTTAGCCCTATTGGATATTGGAGATGTATATGAGTACGAATGAATCGTACAAGCAAGAAAAAAAAAAGGTCGACAGGTCGCGCAAGATATCCCCGGACGGCTAATCGGATGGTGACACTATTCCCACAATTCCGTGTTCATTTGAATCGGTCCGAATCGTAGGTGCACGAAAATATGTAATAAAATGGTTCAAATTCTAACAAGATATTATTATTATTATTTATTGTCAAATTTTGCCGCACCCTAAAAAGTGCCGCCCGGGGCGGGCCGCCCCTGCCCCCCTACGCTACGCTACTGCATTGAAGTCTGTACTATGTGATGGGAAATAGTGTATAAAGTCTATACTATAGATGATTTCGCTATCAGGTCCAATAGATCATTTTACAAATCACACTTCCTTTCAATGTTGCTTTAAAGTGTATAATGTGATAATAGCGAGGTTGAGGCTGAAGTTTTAAACGCGAAAACGTGTACGTCGGACGTTCAGCGCCGCTTTCCTGTAAGCTTAGAAGTTTGACAATGGTGTTTAGAATGTCGAGCATGATTCCACTGACTATCCAAACACCATTGTCAAACTTCTAAGCTTACAGGAAAGCGGCGCTGAACGTCCGACGTACACGTTTTCGCGTTTAAAACTTCGGCCTCAACCTCGCTAATAATTCCTTCAAACTGTTTATAATTGAATAAACTAGAATAATTAGTAATGAATAAATCTGTAATGCACTGCCAATTCTGCATTTGAAAACCGAAATATTGTTTTATCAAAAATGACATTGGCATCGATACCAAAACTGTATATAATGAAAATTCTTTACACTACTATTACGGCCATTGACGTCGGAACAATTACTTGACGTCCCCGATATCACAACTTTCCATAGCAAAATAATTATGATGTAAAACGTAGTCATTGAATGAAGGTTTCATACTTCATTATGTTTCGTAGATGAAACGGTAATAATTTGAAAAGCATTGATCTAAGCATGCTTGATGGCAGTTTCTGTACCTGTAAGGTTACAGGTACTGTATAGTTTTGGAGATAAATGTAGAGACAAATTTTAACGCTGTAATAACATATATACAAGATATAAGTATGCAAATGAATAATTGATAAAACCAGAACGTTTATTTATCAATGATTGTTACCAAATCTGAAAATTTAATAAACAGAATCATTTTTAATTATCAAACAAATAACAATAATATATTAAACATGTATTATCGAAATTATAAAAATTTCACACAAAGTTTGACGATTTCATTATTTTCGTTAGTTGACGACAGATGGCGATGTTTGCAATCACTGGATGGAGATGGTTTTGCTAGATCGTGTGCATGCTTCATCAACGGAATGTTTTCGGAATCGTTTCGTTAGGATTTATTATGAGACGACTAAAGACAATTGAACCGAGTGAGAAATTTAAAGCAGTCGTAAGGATATACAGAAATTGCCAATCAGCAATGAAATAAATTTGAAGTTTAAAAATGGTAGTGAATTTATCAAAAGTATCCAATGTATCCGCATCATTCAATAACCTGACTATCAACGAAGAAACTATTTTTGGTCAGAAATTAAATTTTACTCTCGCGTCAGATCTCTTCAGCGATGGTATTTGTAGAGATGGATGGTTACCAACTAATCATATATTATTTCAACTTGCAAATACATTCCTCTTCTTGTCATATTTAGCACCTACAGGAATTCATGGATTATTATATTTAAGATCTTGCTTAGCCTTAGGATGTTTATTTTTTGCACTTTGGGGATGGATCATCTTATGTGCCTTGGATACATTTGTATGGAATTTCATGTTTACCATTATTAATCTCATACATATTGCTATTATCTTGTACATGTTGAGACCGATTCACTTTAGCCGTGACATCGAACTAGTGTATCGGTTACTATTTAAACCTCTGAGAGTTTCGAGACATCAGTTCAAGAAAGTGTTAGATTGTATGAAAGAGATATTGGTCTTGAAACCTCAAGATCCCTATTGCATTGAAAAAGTTACGAGGGTAGAGAGATTATCTTTGGTGCTAACTGGAAGGTGAGAGTTTGAATATTTTGTTAAGGATCTAATGATGCTGTTTGGTTTTCTGCATGGTAATTTCTCAGTGGAATGTGATAATACGTAAACTTTAACAATGTATTTGGTCTGTCGTATATTCTAATGGGATCTTTTGGATCATATAATTATCGACAATGATGATGAATCTTTAATTATATGATCTAAAGGATAGTATATACAGATGTTTGGAAGTTCCAGTTATAAACTTCTAGGACTTGTAGAGGGGAGTGAGTACATAATATTTTGATTAGGAACCCATGTCCGGAAACGTACCGTTTCCATTTTATGACAGTTTCAATTCAAATTTTTAACTCTTCCACTTCTAATTGAGGAATTTGAATTAGCCATGACGCAGTGCAATTATTGGGTAACTATTCGAAAGGAAACATAACAAAACATCCATTTATCACTTACATAAAAGTTACTTTGAGACTTTTCGCTTTCCCTCAGCATAAGTGGAAGTGTTAAACATCTGAATTAAAACCGTCGTAGAACAGAAACAGTATGTTTCTGGACATGGGTTCTTAATCAAAATATTATGTACTCACTCCCCTCTACAAGTCCTAGAATAAATTGTTTGCTATTATATTGGGTGTTCGGGAATTTCCGAACACCCAATATAATAGCAAACAATTTATTTATGTTCCAAGTTAACAAATTAAAATTTAAACTGTATTCTCTCTGAATTATTTAAATAGATTTGAGGTAATGTGATAATTCTTGAGTTTTTATTGATGATGCAGACTATTTCATTTCTTATAAAAGTGATAAGTTTGTAAAGTGTTAGTTAACTGCCCTATTTTCTGTTTTGTCACTTATTTAGCATTTAAAATTTTATAAGCAGTTTAAATAAATACAATTTGAATTATTAAAAATTAGATAAGGACATTCTGGTAAGACTATTGTTTTCAGAGGCATCTGCACCCAGCAAAGTTTATAGATAGACCCTTGTATAAGCAAAAATTCCAGAAGAAAACATGTGTCCAGAAGTAATTCTTAATGAGATATTCTGCTCCAAAATTTTCCTTGTGCCATCTCTGGTTAGACTAGACACACCCAGAAGGATACAAGTTATATGTTATCAAGCCTTAAGTGGGTGTAAATAAATTAAATACCTTTTAATCCTATAATGACTTTCAATATGTGAAAACTTTCTGGCTAATTATATAGTTATCTTCTGATTTTTGAATGAGAAATTTTGATCTGAGTATAGTTTGAAAGGTGATTAATATAACCTATATTTTCAAACTATGTAAATAATATGGTACTGTACATAAACAATAATTTTGTGAGATTAAATTAATTTTACAGATAAAAAATAATAGCAATTCAAACATAATGATGCTGTATGTTTTTAATGCTTACTACTGCCATTTCAATATCATATTTGAGAAAGTGCAACTGCTAATGAATGGTGCTACTAAAAATAGTGAGGTTGTGGCTGAAGTTTTCATTTCTAAAATGTGAACGTTGAGTGCTGCTGTCTTGTAAACGGTGCTCAATGTTCAACATTCACGTTTTAGAGATGAAAACTTCAGCTGCAACCTCGTTAATATCACAGTTTGTGGTTACACAATTCATTTTATGTTTTCATCTATTATGACAACTCTGAATAATTATGGGCAGAATATTGGTGATAGCACTTATCATAAGCAGTCTTGCTTCCTGTTTAAAAATTGCATTGAAATTATAACAGAATATAATTTAAATACAGAGCTATTTCTAATTATAAAAAAAAAATAATTTGAATCTCTTAGTTTTTATCTGTTCATCATAAATAAATAAGATTACTATATATGAACTATATAATTTACTTAAAGTTTGAAAATAAATATTAAATTATTAGTCATTCTTAAAACTACTTTGGCCAAAGTTTTAAATAATTGAGCAATAAATAAACAAAAGAATATATAAGTCCTTAATCATTTTTTTCATTTGCCATTTGAAAATATGCAAATTTTGTTCATCCCAATATAAATTCTGAATCATTCAAATTCTTATCTGATAAACTAATTACTCATTAAAAAAGTCTAATTAATTAGTCTATCAGTTTTCAATTCTAAAGTTTTCTAAAACACCATTTCTCAAACTATGGATTGCATTAAAATTTTAATGGGTTGCAAAAAAATATTACCTTCTGCAAAAATATTTGCAATACTTGTATTACAGAAATATTTTCTAAGAACAATAGAAGCATTTGTTAATTACCGTTCTTTAAGTCATGTGGCAAAACCTTTGAATTACATCTCACATAATTTTTTTTTATTTTTTAGATTTTATACAAAATTTCAGATGCAAAGTAGTTAGGTGTAACAGACCAAATAAATGCTTAAGCATAAAAAAATGAATGTTATAGAAATGTCTAATGTTTAGAAATGTTACTGTATTAAGCCTGTAAATTGCAAGTTTATTCATTGTTAGAAGACTGAAATGTTAAATTTGTACTAGCTTATCATAAATATTAATTGTTCTTTTTAATTCAGAAAATGAATGAATGTAACTATTTTCAAATTTGATGAAGTTCTAGAATTTGATGTATTCAATTCAGCAGTATAATTTTAAACATTACAAAAATTGATTAGCATTCTGCTGTTCAGTTCCAGCTGCATCTAAATATGTATGCAATGAGTATTCGAATCAAGCTTCTTCAGGCATAAGAAGAAACTTGATAGGGACAAACAAAAATATTTGAGATTTAAAATTAAAGTTCTTATTCTAATAACATTAGTACAAGTGACACTTTTTTTTGAAAAATACTATTAAAATATGGCAGAATTAATTGCTCTATATTTAGATAATTGTAAGATTACAGAAATCATTGTGTTTTCTTCTAGTAAGTTCTAACTTACATCTAAATTTTTTATAATATTCTGGATGTAAAAGAGTAACCAGAAAATAATTATCACCTAATGCTGTAACCCTTAGCTTATAGTATTGATTGATAGAATTGTTATCTGAGTTTAGCTGTTACTCATTAGATGATTAAAAAAAATATCAGTACACTAAGACTGATGTACATGAGCAATAAATTAAGACGGCAATAAATATCAATAACACGTCAACCAATTATATCTGATGATTGTCAAGATCAAGAGAGACAACTGGTTGAACCAGTTGTGGGTGGTGATTGTTATTTTAATTTTTCCAGCAGTGCATATGAACTTTAAATTTCTTTATAAGTTGCAACATCTACAAATTTTAAAATCAGTTATGAATTTGTGGTGATGTCTATAGTATTTTTTATTAAAATGTCTCATGGAAAAATCCATTTATAGTAAATGTTTTTGATTTGTATCATACTGAAAAATATGTAAAATTTTTCTAGTGCACTCTATATACAAAATTAAAAACATACTTTAAATTGTGAATAGCTGCATACAATAATAACTATTATGCTAAGACATAACTTAGCTATTAATTGATCAAGGTATAATAAATTTTTATACAGATGGATTTCTTCTCATTTTTAAAATATATTTTCTTAATATTTGTGGCACCCATAGTCATCTCTTGCAGTGCACCATGGGGCATTCTTTGAGAATCTGATTTAGAGATTCTAGAATAAAATAATTTTATTGAGTTTCTGAATGAAATTTCACTTTATTAATATTTTCAATGTTATGTACTGGTACTGTACATTTCTATCTAAACTGTATAACAATATAAAAACTGAATATCTTATGAGCAATACAATTTTTATTTTGCTCTTGAAGTTCCAAAACAAATTCTTGCAGCTTTTTTTTTTATTAAAAAGATTGTTTAATATAAAAGAGAAGCAAGTTTCTAATTCTATTTTTAGCTAGCTACATTGATATCAAGGAATAGAATAATTGTTATTAATTTATTTATAGTAATTCACATTTTTCTAGAAGTTTTTTAATTAAATAAATATTTTTGGCCTCTTTCGATCTGCCATCCTTGGTTACATTCACTATGGGGAGATTATCCATTATAAAATGGAACACTTCAATTTATACAATTTAAGGCAGAAAAACTGAATTTCTTTTGCATTTTAAAATTGAACAGAGTTTAAACTGAACTTGAATTCTTCAGATTTTCAAATTCAGGAATTTAATGTATAATGAAATAACACACAAACACTGTTATCTATATATATAAATGAGGATGCTTGTTTGTTTTCTATACACTTCTAGGCTGTTTGACCAATTGCTCCGATACTCAGCAGTTACGTTCAAATACTTCTAATTTAGATCGTGTTGTACATCCACCCCAAATTATTTATTGGATTTCTATATATTGATTAATTTCTGTCTAATTTTCTATCTAATTTGATTGTTGGCTTTACACATCTATTGGAAAAAATTTAACAAAATACAGGTATACCTCGCCTTACGTCGGTAATTGGTTCCAGGAAAGCGACGTAAGTCGAATTTACTTCTCTCCCAATCTACTTGTCACTAGGCTAAACCATAAATTACCATTCCTGGTTCTGTATTTTATTTATTAAGCTTACAAACAATTTTATTAAATTTTAGTTTTTAATATAGTACAAAAAAAGTAATCTAAATTTACGAATGCATGTACTGTAAATACAGTACATACTTGTATATGTATATATTTTAATGTGATTTTATGTGCTTTAAACGCTTTTCTAGTGATATTACGACTTCAATATTTGTGGCAAACAGACGTAAAGTCGAATAAAATGACTTAAACTTGATTTTTATTTTTCCATATACTTTTTTGACAAACGACGTAACTCGAGGTATACCTGTAATTAACTAAATGTAATTCTTACAAAAACAGATATAATTTTTAAGCATTTATATTACATTAACTGAATTATTGCAACAATGATATAGTTTGAAATTCATGTGCCATTACACCATTACTGTGACTAGTAGTATATAAGACTTGCCCGTGTGGAGTGTAGTGTTTTGCCCCTGTACATCATACTTTTCCTGTTAACAACAGAGTCATGTCAGTTATGTATCTAACTCTGTTCAGGAAAAACTTTTTGAATTGAAATAATGTGACTTGCGATACAAATCAGAAGTTCATGTATAGTTAATCTGGTCCTCTTTCTCTTATTATTTTTATGTCTGGTCTCAACTTTCATTTCTCTAACTCCGTTCTCAAGATCAAGGTAGGACAGAGACGGACAGATGACAGTGGAAATTTATAAGTCTACAATTTTTTCAAATTGCAGCACAATAATTTTTCTATAAATTCAATATTTATGAGAATATACTTTCAACATAGTTTATACAATCTGTTGCCAAAATTTAAACACTTTATCATCACTTAAAAGGAATTATTCTAGCATTTTTACAAGATTTTTTTTATTTAAACTAGTTTTATATGAAGTCTTTTGGATGTTAAGGTTAGCAAAGGCCTTTGATCACATGCAGGACCATCACAACCCATCCAACACAGATCACTTTTCAAATATTAATAGTAGAACAGTATTATTAATTAGTAGTCATTTATCACCCTCTCCTCCAGGAGGAGGTCAATGACTGCTTTTGATCAAATTACTTTGACCCTCTTCTGCAACAGTTCTTTCTATTGGATCAATGGTATGATGGCATTCAAATAGGAAAATTACATAATGTAAGGTAAGCACAAAATATGATTTAAATGGTTTTTGAGGGTGCCTAAGTTTAATTGTGTGGTCTGTTTTTTCCAAAATTTGGTTGGTTGATATATTACTGTTTGATATTTGGCTATGAATGGTACTGTTTCTTAGAGTTAACATTAGAAAATATTATATCTGAAAAAATTTAAGATATAATAAAATTTTAGCCACTGCTTCTATTTTGTCTATTTGAATCGAAACTGCAAGAAAATTCTTTTACTTTGTGTTGAAACTAAAGAAGAAGTGGCTAAAATTTTTTGCCCAGCTGTGGTTTCTCCTATAGTGCAGAGCACACAGAATCATTCTGAAGTGCATTTCTCTCAGGTGCAGCTTGTAAACAACACTTTCCTGGATGAGTCATGAAGGTATATCATAATTAAAGGAAAGTTACAAATTGATAAAAATTCATTAACTTAGTACTTGATTGTTTGTTGCCCTCTTTATTAACTTTCATCAACTATTCATTAACTTCCTTGTTGAAATTTACAACATTAGGCTTGGTTAAATCTTTTAACAAATATTAAAATTTATAATTCCATAAATTATTAGAAATAATGGCTCTGGGTCTTTACATGCATAAGAGGAATTTGGGAAAAATGGCTTGCTCTAGCCTGTGAATACCAAGTCTTCTGGAAGGGAGTCCAATACCAAGCCTGTGAATACCAAGTCCATCAGCATCCCTGTGTTTTGTAAGTTTGGTCATTGTATTTTATAAAGAAGATGTATCAGTCTGCTTTAAATTTGTTTGAATTATGTTTCAATTTAGAACAGACAATCTCTCCACAGTGAACATAGCCTGAGGTTGACATATCAAAAGAAGCCAAAAACATTTGCTTAATTAAAAAACTGCTGGAAAGGTATAAATTGTTAATTACTTTAATTATCCAGTTAGTGTATTGAATACAATTCTTTATAAAACTCATCCCTACCATCAAACTTAAGCTTTTTGCTATTTTATAATAGTTAAAAATATAAAAAGTTTTTAAATAAAATATAACAGAATCCACCAAAATTTTAATGTTGTCAGAAAAGTTGAGTGAAACTTTTTGCTGGTTTATTGTTTAAATTATGAACATTATTTCCTGATGAAATTTTTAATTAATTTAAAAAGAAAATTGTGATTTCTTTAAAATTCCTAGGGAATTTTTAAATTGCTTAGAATGTACAGTATTCAAATAGTTATTAATTTTATAATTTTTTTCAAAGTTAGTGTAATACAATTTTTATTGTATTTTAGAACAAAAGAATTATTATTGAATGCATTTCAGTAAAAGAGGAAATGCAAAGACAAGGCCACTGGCAATATGCCATTTTATTCTGAATATATTTATTGTGTTTATTTTCATTTTTAAAATGTTAATTTTTTGTTTATATTTTATTTTTTAAAGCCAAAACACTATTGTTAAAATTTAATAACTGATATAAAACATAACATTACATAAAAAACATTTTTTTTTACAATAGTTATTTAAGGACTATTTTTATACTTATTATTTTCTCTTATATAATACAAGTAAATTGTGTAATATAGTTGTTTGTATGTTGTTAAGAACAATTGATTTAAACAATGAAAGAAACAGATTCAAAGAAAATAATTCTTTTTTTTAATTGATCAAAATAATAATAATTTGCATTAGGCAAGTTTGCCTAATGCAAATTAATTCCTAGAATTAATCAATTCCTAGAGTTTCCTAACTAACTTAAGTAAATTCCTAGAGTTTACAAAAATTAGTTGTTAGATTAATCATTATTAGCCTATTATATTTGGTAATTGAGAATTAGAAGGTAATGTAACATTTAAAAATAATTTTTTTTACAAATACAGTAATTAGATTAACAAAAATAATTCTATTTGTGCACCAGTATTAGTTCATAAAATACCTAAACTTGTAAATTAACAAATTTTTAAAAGTAATTATACAAATATAATGTAGTAACATTAAATGCATTATGTAGAAAATAATAGGATTTTTCATCTTCAATTTCATTTTTCATCTTTTATTTACCAAATACAAAGTTAGATTTTCTTCTAACTTTGTATTTGGTAAATAATTTGTAATTTGTGAACTTTATCGTGTAAACAAAACAAAGAAAATAAATTTGTAAAATTGTTTATTTGAAAATATCAAGGCTGAATATTTAATAAGATAAATTAGTTATTAGAAATTGTTAATTTATTAAGCTCTGAAACAACCATATATTTTTTCCCACATAGAAAACTTAAAATAAAAATATAAAATATTTACATTACATATACATTATGTCTGCTTAAACATTTATCCAGGAGCAAAAGAGATTTTTCCAGTATTAGTTAAGTTATGTTATGAACTGCAGTCGACACAAATATACAAGATATGCATTCATTCCATCACTATCTGCAATCAACACAATCTTCAGATTATCCACACATGATTTGAGTAGTGCAACATAATAATAAATTTACAGCATGATGAACCACAACACCTTCAGCACATTTCTATAAAATGTGCTGATGAAGCATTGTTTCCTTGAATGGAATGTATTGTACATTACAATGTGCATTACTGGACAGATCATAGTCCTCAAGACACATAACATACAACTTTGTGTGTTTTACCCTTAATGTATGCTGTGGAATTTGGAGTAAGCAACTTCTTTGTTCCATTATTTATTGATGGAACTCTAGCAACTGATCTTGATAATGGGCAAATGATTTGACAACTTGACATTGGTGCAACTGCAGTAAGTTTGCTAACAGCACAATGGCACACGACTTCATTTCAGGACAGATTTGTATCAGTGGCTTGCAGAGTAGTTTTGCAACTGCTGGATAAGACATGACCCTGTTCTATGACCAGGCCTGCCATAAGCAGGCATGCAAGGTATGCACCGCACACAGGGGACAGCAAATCGAGCAATCGATCATGTAATATTCAAAGTCATTGTCATAATACCCACCCTAATTATAGCATAAGAAATGTCCTCATGGAGAAAAAAATCCAACCGGCGCGTAATTACTGCAATATAGATTACTATATTATATAATATAATATATAGATTACTCAGTAATTACAATATAGATTTTTTTGTTCATGGATAGATGTTAAAGTGGCTACCTTGTATACACTTGGGTTTCCCATTTACGTTTTAGGCTTTGATTTTTAGCATGTAAAAAAAGTGGCTGGGTCATGGCTTACTCAGTGTGCATGCAACTGCATATTTGGATACTATACCAGATATCATTGGTATATATCCAAATATAAACATCCATTAACCAGTACAGACTAAATTGAAATTTTGTTGCAGTCTGTAGAGATGTCTTCAATCCTTCCAACTTGGCTTTCATTAAAATTTTTGCTTTTCAATCAGACCTCTTTTCTCTATGTTAGGGCTTCTTAAACTATGGGTCGCAACCCCATTTGGGGTTGCTTAGCGAAATCTTGGGGTTGCAAGATTTTAATACAAAATATTGAAAATAATTTGTGAGAGTTTGAAAATGGCACGCTTTGTGTCATAGGTTTCGTGAGTTGCGCTTTGTGTCACTTCTGGTGCAGCAAGACAACAATTCAGGAACACTGTAGTGTGAACTAGTGTAGTGTTGTCACTATTCAATGTATTCAGTTGTCTCTGTTCCATTGTAACACAAGAGTGAACTGTGATAGTACACCATTATTGTTTTTGCAAATTTGTATAAATCTTTATTTTATATTTTTTTGGGTCACGAAAAAATCACAATCATAAATGGGGTTGTGAATAAAAAAAGTTTAAGAAGCCCTGCTATATGTGATGGCAATCCGCTCTTGAAACATTGAAGAATGCAATATATGGTCTGTTTTGAAATTCCTTCATTTGCAAAATGGTTTACAGTAAACTTTTCCTAATGTTTTGTTTAATGTGTAAAAATTGTATACTCTTACACATAAAGCATCTTCTTTTGTTGCCATTTTGAAAGAAGCAGAAAATTAAATGCAGAAAATATTCTAGAATGTTTTACAGCATTCCACATACATTCAAATTATTGTATGTGCTGCATAATTAAAAATTATTGACTGTTTGCTACACAACTGCTCTGTACAAAGATAGCGACAGCTGTCTTTGTAAAGAGAATCATCTCCTATGCTGGAGATCTGAGATATTTGTGTGGATTTTTCCAGACACTCATTATTCTATATTATATTTCAAATTTAAAAACACTTGTTCTTTTTTAAGGAATATAGTTGTTTTATTCAAGTTCTAGAAGTTTACAACTGTTATTAGCTGGCTGAAGCTTAAAGCAGGTCAAAGACTTCCCACTTAAGATTAACAGGATTTGGCTTCCATAATAAGCAGTAAGAGAAACATATATTGACTAATGGTGTCAAGATACAGAGACTGTTTATTAAATTTGTAATAATGGTGAAGGCTATTTTATAATAAAATAAGTCCTGAATAAATATAATGTGATTTCAAAATTTGCATACAAAATTACTTATGAAAATTTTTCCATTTTGTCAAAAGTAGCTTATTAAGAAATGCTTTGTTGCTTGTACTCCAATCTTTAGCTCTAGGTTATGAAGTAGTAGTCCAGCTGGTTCCATGAAGTTTAAAATCTCCACTGGGTACATTACTTCCTGATCTGCTGCAAAAACAGAATCAATGGACTTGTACGTTGTGCAAGTTCCTGGAAGTTGTGCTTAGATATGCAAATTCAGTTCAACACATTTCTTTTTTAGATGCCAACATTGCTCTCTTGTATATGCATTTGTGGTTTATGTAGTGTTATCAAATTAATATCCAGATCTTCAGTGAATTTGCCATCACCGAGATGCAAAAGTTGGTTAGCAAAATTCTCTGAAGATGTCTCCCAATAGATGGAACCTTATATTCATTGAAAGGAACAACTTTTTAGCATCATTCCACAGTGATGATGCCTTTAGGCTTTATATCATTTAGATAAAATTTAATTTTAACTAAATGATGATCTCATAATTAGCAAAGTACATTAAATTAAAATTACAACAGATTTCAAATTAATGGTTAATAATTTTACATATAATTTCACTCTTTATTTATTAATTTTAAGTAACTTTAATATGCTTTATATGATCACATAATAAATAAATCAAATCCTTGCTTGTTTCAGAAAGTCAACATTTTTTTTTTTTTTACTAATGTTTTCTTTTCTCTAATAAAAGAACAATGTAGAATAGATTGAGCTGAAGATGGTCAGATTTTAATTGAAAACTTTTTAATAAAAATTGTTGACTTTCTGAAAAAGTGCTGATTTGATTTGATTTATTTGCAAGATGGTCTAAACACACTCAAAAGCTGGAACTTTTAATTAAAAATACTTCACACTACTTATACTTACTCCATCACATAAAATTTAGTGAATGCACCAATGTTTTCATCCACCTTATGTGCTGGATTAAGTATAAGAAGTGTGAAATGTTTTTATGCAAAGATGATGTCAGGTTTTGTGAATTTTTATTACATAATTTCTTGCATAAGTTTATTTTACTAAACTAATATTGCATTTGCTATATGCATTTGTGTTAAAGAATGAAACACAAAAACCTGGACTAAACTTATAACTTGACTGTTTTATTATTTTGCTATATTGAATGTGGAAACTGTTTTTCTCCCTATTAAAAGTATGACTCACTTAAATTTTTAGCTTTGGCTTAACAAAGTCTTGCATTATCAGATTTTACAGATCATTAAATAAAAT